TCCCTACTAACCAACAGTAAGTGAGGCGCGCCGCGGGAGCGCGATTGTGACCACGGACAGCCCAAGGCAGGTAGGCGAGAGCACGATCTGTCACGTCAGGCGATGTCAAGATGAAAGCTAAACCCTAAACCCTAAACCCTAAACCCTAAACCCTAAACCCTAAACTCTAAACCCCTTTTGGACGGGAGAGTAATGTTGACCCAAACCGAGCTCCCCGCCTAACTAGGAAAGGGCCTCGTGAACCACTCAACCTACTGTAACTGTAGCCCTCCTTGCCCTTCCCATTGGAACCTCATGGTATTGACACTCCACTTGGGCAGTTTTGGGTGGGGCACGTCAAGAGGTTGACCAAGCTTTCCTTAGTCCTACATCCTCCTGGTCGTGGATCCTTAAACATGGGCCGCCGAATGAGCCGCTTTGAGCCCTAAACCCGAAACCCTAAACCCTAAACCCTAAACCCTAAACCCTAAACCCTAAACCCTAAACCCTAAACCCTAAACCCTAAACCCTAAACCCTAAACACTAAACCCTAAACCCTAAACCCTAAACCCTAAACCCTAAACCCTAAACCCTGAGCCCTAAGCCCTAAGCCCTAAACCCTAAACCTCAGGACCTGGAAGCAGCACCAGCACAAAACGCAGAACCTTTCTGGTAACCTGGCTGCCAAAAGCAGATCCGGTCTCGTGTTTTGGGTGTTGGGAGCCTGGAGTTCATGAAGAAATGGTGGTTTTTCGATGACAGCTTGCTCTTGTTGGTGTTCCTTCTTGTCTACAATCTTGTGAATAAAGCCAAACACATCTTAACCAATATTCAATCAATGAAACAAACCAAAAAATCGAATTATGGTGGGTTCTCCGGGGGCCTTGTGGGCCTGAAGGTCCGATATGTCGAAGGACTTTGCCTGAACCCTAAACCCGAAACCCGAAACCCTAAACCCTAAACCCTAAACCCTAAACGTCGTCGGATGTCACCGGCACTTGACTTCTTCTAAGCCAGAAGGTGCTTACGAACATGCGGAGACCCCAAATGTAGACCCCCCAATAGTAGGATTCCCTTGTAACAAGGAGCCCGGCACCCTAAATTGAAGAGCCTCCGGCTCAAGCCGCCGACCCCGCTGGAGCATAGTTGAAAGGTTTAAACGCGCTCGTCAGCTCAAAGGATGCCAAAAGTTGATTTGCTTGAGCCTCTGTGAAACGTTGGGGGGGGGGGTAGGGGGTAGCACCAGGAGGAGGAAGGGGAAGGGGGGGAAAGGGGGGGGGGTAGGGGGTGCTGCGTAGGTTGAAAGAAACGTTGGGGTTGTAGCCCAGCAAAGAGGGGGGTGGGGGGGTAGGGTTCCCAAAGGACCCCTATGTATTGTGCGAAACCGCCTATGGTCCGTGAGTTTGTGCGGTGTGGGTGGCCTGGCCATACATGGAAAAGCTGGCGTTTGGGGAAAGAGGGAGGTTTTCACCTCCTTTCAACACGCCGCCAGGGTCGGCGGACCCTAAACCCTAAACCCTAAACCCTAAACCCTAAACCCCAAACCCCAAACCCCAAACCCTAAACCCTAAACCCTAAACCCTAAACCCTAAACCCTAAACCCAACCCCTTTGCCTGCACCTTTGCGCGGTGCCTTGTTCATTCTGGTCTCCTGCACAGGGGCCTCTTGGGCTTCCCTCTTGGGGCCGCCGTTCGTCACCTCCATCTGCAGTGCTGCCAGTTGCTCTTTGAGCACCGGGCCGAAGCACTCCGCTAGCTGTTGCTCCATGCCTAGGCGGTTCAGAGCACTTAGATAGGACCCTAATCTCGGAAACCCCCAGATGTGGCATCTTCCCCATTGGATGATGATTGTGACGACGTGTTGATGATGACTCACCAGCTCGCAGGCGAGGCACCTTACCTCCTGCTCCCTTCGAGGGGTTGTATCAGGTACTTAATTCCCTCATGTAAGCCCTGCACCCTACACCCTAAACTCAAGGCTGAGGCCGCCCCCCAACAGTGGGGTGGCGGCGCCTAAGCCCCTCGACCTCGATGGCACAAGCCGCACAGCTCAGGGTTCTGGACCCACACGCGCACCCTCCCTTCCTGGGATTCCCTTGGCATTCCCCTGAAACCCCCCTGAATCTTTCCCGGGCCCCCCCTAAAACCCCCAGAACTGGAACCCTGCTAGGACCCCCCCTGGCCGCCCTGAAACCTCGTGAAACTTGCTGGACTGTTTGACTCCTTGAAACCCCTGGACCCCTGAGACCCCTTCTCCATGCTGGGACCGGGACGGAGGACCCAAGAAAAAAGCATCCTGAAACTGAAGAAGTTTGTCGAAGGAATGGGTTTGGGTGGTTTTGCCGCCTCGGACGGCGTGGGGTGGGAGAAAAGGGTAGCTGCTCTTCGCGCCACACGAAGCTTTCGAGCTTGTTCCAAAGCCTAACCTTCACAGCATCTACGCCCTATCACAAAAGCCCTGAACCCTGAACCCTAAACCCTAAACCCTAAACCCTAAACCCAAAACCCTAAACCCTAAACCCTAAACCCTAAACCCTAAACCCTAAACCCTAAACCTTAAACCTTAAACCTTAAACCTTAAGCCTTAAACCCTAACCCTTAACCCTAAGAATTCTTGTCGCCCTGGCCACATATCGAGGTTTCGATCTTCGCCAGCAATTCCTAGTGGGCCAGAAACTTCGAGCCATTTCGCGAAGTTTGGGCTTGTGAACCCTGTCTCCTCCCCGGAGGCGCTTCTTTTGCTGGTTTTTTCCTGGGCTTCAGATGGTTTCGGATTCAGGGTTTAGGGTTTAGGGTTTGGGGTTTGGGGTTTGGGGTTTGGGGCTTGGGGCTTGGGGCTTGGGGCTTGGGTCTTGGGGCTTGGGGCTTTGGGGCTTGGGGTTTGGGCCTTCCCCACCGCTCCTCACGTTCAGTCTCGTTTCGTGGGGAGTTGGCACTTCCGGCCTCCCAAGAATGGCGAGAACGCTCCCCCAGCCCGACGATTCTCCGATGCCGATAGGGGGTTTAGGGTTTAGGGTTTAGGGTTTAGGGTTTAGGGTTTAGGGTTTAGGGTTTAGGGTTTAGGGTTTAGGGTTTGGGGTCCTTCCGAAGCTGAGTCCCTGTTGCTGCTCTTGGGCAGTTCTTGCACAACAGTACATTCGACGCTCGCGCGCGACGCAGAGATGCTGTACAATCAAATGCCTTGTTCCCGACATCCGTAGCCTAGACTGGATGAAAGACATCACGCCCCAAACAAAGAACATCATGTAGAGAGCTGTCCGTATGTCACATGGAAACCCTAAACCCTAAACCCTAAACCCTAAACCCTAAACCCTAAACCCTAAACCCTAAACCCTAAACCCTAAACCCTAAACCCTAAACCCTAAACCCTTTTCCTCACAGTCTTCCACCACAAGCCTTGCCTTGCCGGTGTTCAATGGGCTCCAATTGTGCTCATGCTTGCGCGCGTGTACGCGCCAGACGAAGCCGCGAGCCGCTACAGGGGTCTCCATAGGGTTTAGGGTTTAGGGTTTAGGGTTTAGGGTTTAGGGTTTAGGGTTGTTCCGTGCACCCGAACTTCAGGTTTGTGTTTGATACGCGCCGCTGCGCAGACGGAGGGCAACCGATGTCGTTCGTGCCAACCACGATGCATCTGATTCTCGTGAGGCCACTCTAAACCCTACAAACCCTAAACCCGACAAACCCCAGGCTGTGCAAGCCTTCAAACTCTGGGAAGGCATCCGTTAGGTGCGGTCTTCTTAGGAAGCTCCCAAGCAGACCCCCGAAGCCCTCGGCTTAGAAGTTTAGGGGTCTCCGAAGCCTTTCATCCCGCTGATGTCAAGAGCCTACAGCTCACTTTCTGCAGGTTCTTGCTGTAAAGGAAACCTGCAAAAGAGGTTTTTGGGTGTTCAACGCAAACTCTGGTGGGGCTCTCGAAAGTTTTCAAAGCCCCCAAACTCGAAAAACCGAAAGCCCGAAGCCCGAAAGCAAGGCCGCAAGGCACTAAAGCCTTAGAACCGCCCATCTTCGAAGGTTTGGGTGTTTAGGGTTTGTTTTTCAGGTTTAGGGTTTAGGGTTCAGGGATTAGGGTTATGCAGACCCTGACGAGGCCTCGCCAATTTTTCGACCGCCAGCGGTGGTCTTCGACTCTCTTGGCAGAACCAAAAGGAATAGGGTATTAGGGTATAGGGTATGAGGGTATGAGGGTTTAGGGTTTAGGGCTTAGGGCTTAGGGTATTAGGGTTTCGGGTTTTAGGAGCCGTAGTGCTTCGTGAGGAAAGGTTTGGAGCAGTTGGGGGGTCAACGGTTTGGCTTGGGGTGCTGTATACCGCGCAGGAAATCCACGAGGACACTCGCAGGAGCACGAAGTCCCAAAAGCAACGGCAGCTCGGCACTGACCGAGGATGCGGGACCGTGGGGGGAGCGCATTTGCTCCAAGAGTTCGGGAGGCAGGGGTTTAGGGTTTAGGGTTTAGGGTTTAGGGTTTAAGGAAGATGCAGGAAGGCGCGTCCTTGCCACGTTGATGCGGCAGCGACTCAAGCATCAACACGTGCACGGGGGCTGAAGCGGGGCGGGGCCGCGATTGTGTGACCACGGAAAACACAAGGCACGTAGGCGAGAGCGCGATCTGTCACGTCGGGGGCGATGTCAAGCGTTAGGATGAAAGCCATGAGCCCCAAAGTTCACGTTGGCCTCATGGTGTTGACACTCCACTTGGGGGAGATTTTTGGGGTTGTGGCACATCAAGAGGTTGACCAAGCTTTCCTTGGTCCTACATCCTCCGGGTCGTGGATCTTGAAACCTTACTTGGCAAATAGTCGAACTTTATACTTTTTGGGTTTCCTTATTTAGTGGTTATTGGAGAATAGGGCCCTATATAAATCCCTTAAAGGGCATATACAGGGGGATGCAGGGCCCTCACTCCCTCCCTAAACCCTAAACCCATGCACCAAAACCACCCTAAAACCCAAACCCTAAACCCCAAACCCTAAACCCCAAACCCTAAACACTCGTGCCAACCAACAGCAAGTAAACCCGAGGACATGGGGCCTGGAGCTGCAGCGGCCCCAACTCAAAACGCCGGAGTTCCCTGGCGACCTGGCTGCCAGAAGGTTGGAGTCTGGAGTTTTGGGTTCACGGGTTGAGGTTGGGATGTTCCAGCCTTGCAGTAGCAGACCTTAAAAAGAGAATTTAGTAGGGGGTACGAAAAAATCCCTCTTAAGGACTGTTCGTAGAAGGGGGAACAGCCCAAGGTTTAGGGTTCAGGGCAGTAAACCCTAAACCCTAAACCCTAAACCCTAAACCCTAAACCCTAAACCCTAAACCCTAAACCCTAAACCCTAAACCCTAAACCCTAAACCCTAAACCCTAAACCCTAAACCCTAAACTTGGCTGCAGCATTGTGCTGGTTTATCAGAGGGTCGGGTGGACCTGAAGGTGCGACAGGTGTCGAAGAAGTCTAGCGGCACGCAGTTGCGTCACTAGGACCCAGGGCAGGCGCTTCTTCCCTAATCTGAGGGTTGAGGTTCCCCAAAAAAGCTCTTTTTAAACCCTAAAACGGGCACCCCTTTCTTATTCCTAGGGTTTAGGGTTAAGGGTTTAGGGTTTAGGGTTTAGGTTACTCTTGGGTCAAGGCCGCAGGCCCTTGACTTCTTCTGACCAGAATGTCATCTTAGGGTTTAGGGTTTAGGGTTTAGAGTTTAGGGTTTCCCTACAGAGAGTCGTGTCGTGGGGTCGGGAGGCTTGATGCGGCCTCCCGGGCCCAAAACAACCACACAAACAAAAGGATCCTACGATTGGGGTATAAGGGCCCGGATTCCGAAGAACCCTAAACCCTAAACCCTAAACCCTAAACCCTAAACCCTAAACCCGAAACCCTAAACCCTAAACCCTAAACCCTAAACCCTAAACCCTAAACCCTAAACCCTAAACCCTAAACCCTAAACCCTAAACCCTAAACCCTAAACCGTAGGATCCTTATGTTCATGTGGTGTTTTGGGCCCCTACTTCGGGGCTCAGGCTGACTGAGGATTTGGGATCGAGGGTTTAGGGTTCAGGGGTGTAGCCTTCGGGTGACTATTATCGCGTGGTGAACGCTACCTCTGTCTGGTGTGCGAGGATGGGGACGCCACGCGCCGACATGTCAAGGTGTCGACATGTCAAACCTAGATTTTCTGCCGCCATGCCAATAACATACGCCGACACGCAAAAGACACGCGCCGACATACCAAAAGTACACGCGGACATGCCGACATGCACAACTTGGGCTGCCGTGCCGACCTGCCAAAACACACGCCAACAAGCCAAGCATTCTTCTTGGTGTGCCAGCATGTCAATAAACGCGCGCGCCGACATGCCAACATGCGTGCGGACATGTCAAAAAAAGAAGCCCCCGGGGAGATAATATCTCGGCGTGTTGTTTCTCTATCTCGGGGCGGCGTTTTGACATGTTGGCGCCCGCGATCCCGGGCGATGATTCTTCAAGGCTGATCCCGCTGCCATCGTTACACTTCTCGAGGCCTAGGTTGGATAACTTGCGAGTTCTGATCCTTAGGGCAGTAGGGAACTAGGCACCTCGTACTAGGAACCAATCAGGGAGTTTACGAACATAGGGGACCCCAAAATAGACCCCCAAGTAGTAGGATCCCCTTATCATAAGGACCCCCCCAATAAGGTACCCCTAAGATCGTAAGCCCCCATAAAGATCCGCAGGGTGTTTTCTGGAGGTTTCGGGCCTGGCTCCGCGCCTCTCTCAAGGATGCAGTTGTGTTTCGTAGGTAGGATAAGGGGGGCCCTTAAAAGGGAACCCCTTCTTAACCCTCTTCTGGCTCTCTTAAACAGGGACCTTATTCAGAGGGTCTATATCCCCAAGGGTCCCCCTAATCCTATCCCCTAGTGTTGAAGGTTCATGGGTACATATAGGTAGGGTTCTGAGTGCCCTGAGAAGAACCCTGCTTCCAAGTTATTATGAACCTTCAAGTACGTTTAGGGTTTAGGGGTTTGGGTTTAGGGTTTAGGGTTTAGGGTTTAGGGTTTCGGGTTTAGGGTTTTGGGCCTACACCCGAGACCCGAATTTCTTGGTCACCCTGGGCGCATCCGAGGTTTCGTCCTCCGCCAGGCCTCACCGGCACGGGCGATGATGCTGCAAGCACCACGAACTCCTTCGCGGAGTTGGGGCCGGTGAGCCCTTTCTCCTCTCCGGAGGCACCCGGCTTTCGAGTTTGTTGTCTTTCTCTCCTGGGTCCTGGGTTTCGGGTTTCAGCAGCATGACGAGAGCCTGCTGTGTGGAGACTCATGCCCCTACTGTTATGTACCCCATGAGCCTTCAAGTACCTTGGCTTCCCCCCCCGCCTCTGACTCTTTCTCCTGGGCGGAGCCTTGCCCACCCCCCTGCTCCTCACACTCAGTCTGCGGTGCCGGGTCCCGGAGTGGTGCTGTTTTACTGGAGCTGGCGCCTTTCAAGAATTGCCGATAAACCCTAAACCCTAAAACCTAAACCCTAAACCCTAAAACCCTAAAACCCTAAACCCCAAACCCCAAACCCTAAACCCTACACACCTTACACACCTTCTAAACGCCCCGGTGTGGGCTTTTGAGCGCTGGGCACCCAACTTGCGTTTAGGGCTTCAAGGGTGATAAAGGTTTAAGGGATTAGGGGCTTAGGGGCTTAGAGGCTTAGAGGGGCTTAGGGTTTAGGGGCTCAGGGGCTTAGAGGGGCTCAGGGGGGCTCAGGGGGGCTTAGAGGGGCTTAGGGGCTTGCTTAGGGGTTTCGGGGCTTAGAGGCTTAGGGGTTTAGAGGGGCTTAGAGGGGCTTAGGGGGCCTTAGGGGGGCTTAGGGGGGCTTTAGGGGCTTAGGGGCTCGAAGCCCTGAGTGCCAGTTGTTTATCAGCTGACCTTAAGATCCCGCAACATGCCTCCGGGATTCCTATCGTAGGGAGGACTCTAATAACCCTTAAGTAAGGAATATTCCTTCAACCATATAAGGAGCCTTCTTCTACTTTAAGGAATATTCCTTAATGAAGGGATATTGGAGTCTCTGGGAACATTGGTGAAGCTTTGAGACTAGACCCCTGACATTAATTCTTCCCTAAGGTTCCCTAGGTACCTCCCCCCCTTGAACCCCCGACCCGTGACTGCAACAGGGCTGGTTTGGGGCTTCCAAAGGTAAACCCTAGTGGGGCTCCCGAAAGTCTCCTGGGCCAAAAGCCCCAGACCTTCAAAGGCTTAGGGTTTGGGATTAGGGTTTAGGCTTGCGCAGCTTGTGAATTGTTTTTAAGAAAAACAATCCAAAACTTCAAAGGCATGAGATTTAGGAAATTTAGGATTAGGGTTAGGGTTATGCAGCAGAACCTTCCCACAACCCTCGCTGACGAGGCGGGGCCTCATTTGCCACCACCGGCGCTGGCGGGCTTCGAATCTCTTGGCAAGAGCGAGGGGTTTAGGGGTTCAGGGTCTTCGGAGCGGTCGTGTTTTGTGGGGAAAGGCTTGTGCATGGACCCAAGCAGTAAGTCTGCGACGACACCCACAGGAGCATGACCCAAGGCAAAATTTTCATGGCAGGGTTGCACCACTCAACCTACCGTAACCCTCCTTTGGGACCCCAGGGGTGTTGGCACGGAATTTGGGGGCATTTTGGGGGTGTGAAAAAACGCGAAGAGGTCGACCACGTTTTGCTTACCTACGTCCTCATGTCCAGCCCCTAAACCCTAAACCCTAAACCCTAAGCCCTGAACCCTAAACCCTAAACCCTAAACCCTAAACCCTAAGCCCTAAACCCTAAACCCTAAACCCTAAACCCTCATCCCTAAACCCTAAACCCTGAACCCTAAACCCTAAACCCTAAACCCTAAACCAGCCCTAAACCCTAAACCTCAGGGCATGGAAGCCGGGGCGGCACCAGCTCAAAACGCGGGACCTCTCTGGTGACCTGAAAGCAAATTCGGCCTCGTTTTGGAATCTGGAGTTAGGGTTTAGGGTTAGGGTTTAGGGTTTAGGGTTTAGGGTTTAGGGTTTAGGGTTTAGGGTTTAGGGTTTAGGGTTAGGGCTTAGGGCTTAGGGCTTAGGGCTTAGGGCTTAGGGCTTAGGGCTTAGGGCTTAGGCTAAGCTCGATGACAGCTTGCTCTAGCTTGCCTTCCTACGCGTTCACAATCTCGTGGAATCTTGCAAGTGCTCCGTGATTCGAGGACCGATGATTCGGGATTCAGGTGTTTTTAGCTCCTGGTTATGATGTCTCGCCTGGTGGACGTTTCGCTGTGCATGCTCGAACCCAGCTCTGAAGCGCAGTGAAGTGCCAACGTGACGAGACGTGCGCGATGATGAAAATAGGGTGTCTCCCTTCTGGTCCCTCTATAAATATTCTAGAATCACCCCAATAACCCTAGGGTTTAGGGTTTAGGGTTTAGGATTTAGGGTAGGGTTTAGGGTAATCCCGATGGCAACCCGGATGTTGCCAGCATACTTCTTGCCAATGTCCATCGGCGCACTTCTAAGCCCATGTGGGACCATGATGACGATGACGTGATGGTGTGGATGATGACATGCGAGCGCTTAACAGGGAATGATAGCTTGTATCCCTTTGAGGGGTTTGAACCCGAAACCCTAAACCCTAAACCCTCAACCCTCAACCTTAAACCCTAAACCCTAAACTTAGGCCCTAAACCCTAAACCCTAAACCCTAAACCCTAAACCCTAAACCCTAAACCCTAAACCCTAAACCTTAAACCCTAGACCCTAAACCCTAAACCCAAAGCCCTAAACCCTAAACCCTTAACCCGACCAAGAACCAGAAAGCACGCGTAGCGCTTTCTCCTGAGTCTCGGGCTGGGCCGCACCTCTCCCATGCGATAGCTTCGTGTGCTCCTACTCAGAGTTGATAAGAGTTTTGCAAGCCTCAATCCTAAGCCCCTAAAGCCCTAAACCCTAAACCCTAAATCCTAACCCTAAACCCTAAACCCTAAACCCTAAACCCTAAACCCTAAACCCTAAACCCTAAACCCTAAACCCTAAACCCTAAACCCTAAACCCTAAACCCTAAACCCTAAACCCTAAACCCTAAACCCTCAACCCTCAACCCTCAACCCTCAACCCTCAACCCTCAAACCTCAACCCTCAACCCTCAACCCTCAACCCTCAACCCTCAACCCTCAACCCTCAACCCTCAACCCTCAACCCTCAACCCTCAACCCTCAACCCTAAGCCTTAAACCACGTGCTTGAGGGCCTTCAATTTTCCGAGTGCCTTGTCGAATCAATGTCAGTTGTGCCGGGTCGCAGTTTCAGCAGGAGATTGGTTTAGGGTTTAGGGTTTAGGGTTTAGGGTTTAGGGTTTCAGGCCTTCAGCCCTCAATCCCCATTTGCGAATCGGAGGTTCGGGAGCTATGGACATCCGCATGTTTGCAACCGGCCATGTGTCTATCTCAAGAAGGCACCTGGAGGCAGCGCTGAGAGCGTTCCCAGTCAGTGTTTTTCTTTTCCAGTGTTTTTGCTTCTTTTAGCTAATCATTTTTTTTGGTTACCGCTACCTCCCCCCGAAAGCGCCAAAAGCGATTCTACGATCCCGAAGGTCGAAATACTAAACGCTAAGCGCAAAACCCTAAACCCTAAGCCCTACACCCTAAACCCGAAACCCTAAACTCTAGGTCGTTTCGCCGGCTTTTTGCTGTCGTGGTCTAAGCTTTCAGCCTGTCTGACTTAGCGCTTTGCCTGGTAAACCCCAAACCCTATAAACCCTAACCCCAAGCCCTAAACCCCAAACCCTAAACCTGAAGCCCTAAATCCTAAACCCCAAGCCCTAAACCCTAAACCCCAAACCCTAAACTCTGAACCATAGGTGCCATGTTGCCCATGTAGGCTGTGTCCAGCAAGCGGTTTGACTTACTGTTGGTTAGTAGGGAATGAGGGAATGAGGTACCCTATATCCCCCTATATACACCCTTTGTAAGGGATTTGTTAGGGACCAACAGTATACGTTGATGGCAGCTCGCAATCGCGCGCCTTTCGCCAGGATGTCCGGCTGGGGCGGCATGCGGTTACTGTCATCTGCCCCACACGCAGAGCACTGCCAAACCGGCCGCTTTGCTTACTGTTGGTTAGTAGGGAATGAGGGAATGAGGTAACCCTAAACCCTAAACCCTAAACCCTAAACCCTAAACCCTAAACCCTAAACCCTAAACCCTAAACCCTAAACCCTAAACCCTAAACCCTAAACCCTAAACCCTAAACCCTAAAACCTAAACCCTAAACCCTAAACCCTAAACCCTAAACCCTATATAATCCCTCAAAGGGTATGTAGAGGGCTTCCCTGCCAAGTAAGTTTGCTGCAAACGGTGGCGGTTTGGAGTCGGGAGCGCCTTGCACGCCTAGCGTATGTCAGGATGAAGCCTAAACCTAAACCCTGAACCCTAAACCCTAAACCCTAAACCCCAAACCCCAAACCCGAAACCCTAAACCCTAAACCCTAAACCTCTTAGATCTAAAGATCTCAGTGGTTGGCCGTCAGGCCTCGATGAGTAGTTGGAGGATAGCTGTAGGATTTGAAACCTGACGTTGCCGACACTCCACTGCGAAGGCTCCGAACCTCAGGGGGTTTAGGGTTTAGGGTTTAGGGTTTAGGGTTTAGGCATTGTCAACCCAACGAACTACAGCAACTAGACATGGATCTCCTCCTTGCCAAAGATTTCCGTGATGTGCCCCATCGCATGTGCACCCTGAACCCTATATAAACCCGAAACCCTAAACCCTAAACACTTGCAGCTTCATGGTACTTATTCACCAATTATAACAGTACTTAGACCTATAGCTGTACCTATAACCATATTAAGGCACTTAAGGGGCTTATGAGTCGGTTATAAGTACAGTTATGCTGGGTTAATAACTACCATCCAACCAAGTAGTCCCGACCTAAGGACAAGGCCACCCGCCGTGCCATGGAGAGAATGACTGACCAGGAGTGCTTTGCAAATTTGATCTGTTTGGTGAGGAGAGGCTTAGGAGGATCCCCTGGACCCTAAACCCTAAACCCTAAACCCTAAACCCTAAACCCTAAACCCCAAACCCTAAACCCTAAACCCTCAACCCTCAGCCCTAACTCGGGGGGAGGGGAGGCTTAGGAGGATGCCCTGACCCGGGCCAGGAGCTCCTTGCAGCATCCCTTCCGTGTCTTCGCAGACAAGCTCCTGAGCCAGCATGTGAGGGATGAGGTTAGAAGTCCACCCATGCCGAAGTGAGTAGGGTTTTGGGGTTTAGGGTTTTGGGGTTTAGGGTTTTGGGGTTTAGGGTTTAGGGTTTGGGGTTGAGGGTTTAGGCTTCGGGTGCACCATAATCCGTCCGGCACCTGCGACCAAGAGCCTGAAAGCCACAGGCCAGAAGCCTTGTCGCATCCAGGGACCCGCTTAGCTTAGATGCTGCCGGTACGGGGCCCTAAAGCCTCAACCCTAAACCCCGTAAACCCTAATTCCTAAACCCTAAACGCAACCCTGCGAGGCAGCGGCGATTAGGAACCCTTTGGCCGACAACGTGGTTGAACTTCTCGAGGCGCTCTCACAGCAGCGGAAGCTGTTAGGGTTTGGGCGGCAAGGTTCAGGGTTCAGAAGAGGTTCAGGTTAACCCTAAACCCTGAACCCTGAACCCTGAACCCTAAACCCTAAACCCTAATTAAAACCTAAACCCTAAACCCTAAACCCTAGACCC